GAAAACCTTTCAGCTTGTCACTGTTAAGTATAATGTTGGCTGTGGGCTTGTCATATATGACCTATATTATGTTGAGGTACTTACCCTCTATACCCATTTTGTTGAGGGCTTTAGCATGAATGGATGTTGAATTTTGTCAAATGCTTTTTCAGCATGTATGGAGATGATCATGTGGTTTTTGTGCTTCTTTTTGTTGATGTGCTGGATAATGTTGATGGATTTTCGAATGCTGTACCATCCTTGCATCCCTGGGATGAATCCCACTTGATCATGATGGATGATCTTTTTGATGTATTTTTTAATTTGGTTTGCCAATATTTTGTTGAATATTTTTGCATCTGTGTTCATCAGGGATATTGGTCTGTAATTTTCTTTTTTTGTGGTGTCTTTGCCTGGTTTTGGTATTAGAGTGATGTTGGCCTCATAGAATGAGTTTGGGAGTATTCCCTCCTCTACTACTTTTTGGAAAACTTCAAGAAGGATAGGTATTAAGTCTTCACTAAATGTTTGATAAAATCCAGCAGTGAAACCATCTCGTCCAGGAGTTTTGTTCTTAGGTAGTTTTTTGATTACCAAATCAATGTCCTTGCTAGTAGTTGGTCTGTTCAGATTATCTGTTTCTTCCTGGGTCATTCTTGGAAGGTTTTTTTTTTCCTAGAAAGTTGTCCATTTCTTCTAGGTTGTCCAGTTTCTTACTGTATAATTTTTTCATGGTATTCTCTAATAATTCTTTCTTTTTCTGTGGTGTCCATAGTGATTATTCCTTTCTCATATTTGATTCTGTTTATGTGTGTAGACTCTCTTTTTTTCTTGATAAGTCTCCTTAGGGGTTTATCTATTTTGTTTATTTTCTCGAAGAACCGGCTCCTGCTTTCATTGCTTCTTTCTTTTGTTTTGTTCTTTGCAATTTTATTTATTACTGCTCTAATCTTTATTATGTCCCTCCTTCTACTGACTTTGGGCCTCATTTGTTCTTTTTCTAGTTTTGTTAATTGTGAGTTTAGACTGTTCATATGTGATTGTTCTTCTTTCCTGAGGTAGGCCTGTATTGCAATATACTCTCCTCTTAGCATGGCCTTCGCTGCATCCCACCGGTTTTGCCATGTTGAATTATTGTTGTCATTTGTCTCCATTAAATTGCTTGATCTCTGTTTTATTTGGTCATTGATCCATTGGTTATTTAGGAGCATGTTGTTAAGCCTCCATGTGTTTGTGGGGTTTTACATTTTCTTTCTGTAATTTATTTCTGGTTTCATACCTTTGTGGTCTAAGGAGCTGGTTGGTAGAATTTCAATTTTTTTGAGTTTACTGAGGATCTTTTTGTGGCCTAGTATATGATCTATCCTTGCAAATGTTCCATATGCAGTTGAGAAGAATGTGTATTCTTCTGCTTTTGGGTGGAGAGTTCTGTAGATGTCTGTTAGGTCCATATGTTGTAATGTGCTGTTCAATGCCTCTGTCTCCTTAGTTATTTTCTGTCTGGTGGATCTGTCCTTTTGAGTGAGTGGTGTTTTGAAGTCTCCTAAAATGAATACATTGCATTCTATTTCACCTTTTAATTTTGTTAGTATTTGTTTCACATATTTAGGTGCTCCTTTGTTGTGTGTGTAGACATTTATAATGGTTATATCCTCTGTTGGATTGTCCCCTTTATTGTTAAATAAGGTCTTTCTTTGTCTCTTGTGACTTTCTTTGTTTTTAAGTCTATTTAGTCTGATACAAGTACTGCAACTCCTGCTTTTTTCTCCCTATTAGTTGCATGAAATATCTTTTTACATCCCATTACTTTCAGTCTGTGTATGTCTTTGGGTTTGAAGTAAGTCTCTTGTAGGCAGCATATAGTTGGGTCTTCTTTTTATTATCCATTCAGTGACTCTATGTCTTCTGATTGGTGCATTCAGACCATTTGTATTTAGGGTGATTATCGATAGGTATGTACTTATTGCCATTGCAGGCTTTAGATTTGTGCTTACAAAGGTTCAAGGTTAACTTCCTTACTATCTAAGAGTCTAAGTCAACCCCCTTAATATGCTATTACAAACACAATCTAAAGGTTCTTTTTTTCTCTCCTTTTCTTCCTCCTCCATTCTTTATATATTAGATTTCATATCCTGTACTCTTTGTCTATCCCTTTTTATTACCTCTGGTGATAGCTATTTAGTCTTAGGAACACTTCCATCTATAACAGTCCCTCCAAAATACTCTGTAGAGAAGGTTTGTGGAAGGTAAATTCTATCAGCTTTTATTCATCTGAAAATTGTTTAATCCCTCCTTCAAATTTAAATGATAATCTTGCAGGATAGAGTATTCTTGGTTCAAGGCTCTTCAGCTTCATTGCATTAAATATATCATGCCACTCCCTTCTGGCCTGTAAGGTTTCTGCTGAGAAGTCTGATGACAGCCTGATGGGCTTTCCTTTTTATGTGACCTTTTTTCTCTCTCTAGCTGCTTTTAATTGTCCTTATCCTTGATCTTTGCCATTTTAATTATTATGTATCTTGGTGTTGTCCTATATGGGTCCCTCGTGTTGGGAGATCTGTGCATCTCCATGGCCTGAGAGACTATCTCCTTCCCCCAGTTGGGGAAGTTTTCAGGAATTACTTCCTCAAAGACATTTTCTATCCATTTTTCTCTCTCTTCTTCTTCTTGTACCCCTGTAATATGAATATTGTTCTGTTTGGATTAATCACACAGTTCTCTCAGTATTCTTTCATTCTTTCATTCTTTCATTTCTCTCTGTGCCACAGTTTCTTTGTATTCCTCTTCTCTAATTCCTATTTCATTTATTGTCTCCACCATATCTAATCTGCTTTTGATACCCTCCATTGTGTTCCTCAACAATTGGATCTCTCTCCTCAATTAGTCCCTGAGTTCTTGAATATTTTTCTATACCTCCAGAAGCATGTTTATGATTTTTATTTTGAAATCTTTTTCAGGAAGATTTATTATTTTAGTCTCACTTGATCCTTTTTCTGGTGCTCTTGAGATTTTGCTTTGAACCCGATTCCTTTGACGTTTCATATTTGTAAGTGGCACCCTCTAGTGCCCAGAAGCTCTACTCTCTGGAGCTGCTCAGCCCCTGGAGTGATGTCGGGAGTCTCAGAGGAGTGGTGCTGGTGCCTTGTGGGAAGAAAGAGTTGTTTCCTGCTTCCCCTCTGCTGTGCCTGTCTCCACTGACAGAACCAGTGGGGTGAACACACAGGTGTAAGCCTCTGTGCTTTGTGTTTGTAGCTGCTGTAGGTGGGGCTTCCCTCTGGTTGGCTTGATGCCAAGGCAGGGTTTGCTGGTTTGTGAGCCAGGTGCGGGCTGGTTGGGAGGGAGGCACAGCAGGGTGTGTATTATGGTGGGAGGCTTTGGAGCAGTGTAACCAGCTAGGGGGATGGAGCGCCTGAAGAAAGTGAAAGTTCCCAACCTGCTGCTGTGCAGAGTGCACCCGGACAATTTTGTTTACCTGTTCTTTCTCCTGAGCAGTAAGCTCTGTGCAGTCCTTGCCCCTTTAGCAGCCCTCTTGCTTTTAGGAAGTCTCTCAGACTGCCTGCCCAGGTCAGCTGGATATGGATCCCTGTTTTCCACAAGCAACTGGAATCTCAGTCTCTCCAAGTATTCCACCTGTCTTAGCTTTCCAACCCCATTAATCACCAGAGCACCATGCAAAGTAGGTTTGTGCTCCCAGAGCAGATCTGTAGGGCTGGGTGTTCAGCAGTCCCAGGCCTCCACTCCCTCCCGGATCTGTTTCTCTTACTCCCGCCGGTGTGCTGGGGTGGGGGAAAGGCTTGGGTCCCGCCAGGTCACAGCTTTGGTACGTTACCCTGTTCCATGAGGTCTATTCTTCCCTCCAGGTGTGTGTAGGCTGGTGTGTCTTTTTTCCTGTTGCTCTTTCAGATTAGTTGTATTAATTATATTTTTGTATTATATGTGGTTTTAGGGAGAGGTCTTTGTCTCACCTCTCACACTACCATGTTTTTTTTAGCAGCTCCACTTTTTTCTCTCTTATAAACTGGGTTTCAATATAAGATTTGATTTGAAGAAAGAGTCTGTTTTTTGTTATCCACGTTAGGATTTTTTTTTTTTTTACATTTTGTGATATCTGTAATGTTACATGCTTATTTCAATTTAGTTTCCCATTTAAAAATGGGCATTCTGTTATAAAGTCCTGTATTTCCAGTGGCCATGAGAGTAGAGTGTAAGAAATATTACACAACAACCCTCTTATTATTCAGAGAGAAAACTCAGACCCAGAAAGGACAAGGAACTTTTCCAAAGTTTAACGATCAAGTCAGCAATGAACTATAGGTCTCCTGGTCCCCAGGAGAGATTATCTGTACTAATGAAGTAGAACTATAATAGAGAAAAGAATTTTAAAAGATAAATCTTCAAAAATCAAAGAAAGAATAGAACTTGACTTTGTTCAGGTGCAGGGGGAAGAAATGGAAAGCAATAATATTTGGAGTGGTTCAGTTCTCTACTTATTACCCAGATCACAAATTAGAAAATTGTTAGCTTCTGGAACAGACACTGCTTGAGGGTAAACTAAGTAAGTAAGGAATTGAGGTGAAGTAAAGTGAAGTGAAGAAGTAAGTAAGTAAAGTAAGTATAAGTAAAAAGCGAGGAAAGAAAGAAATAATCAATTTGGCCCCATTTGGTGTTAAAATTTTTTTAATTTAGTTGCTAATATTTAAAAATAAGTAGATTTCATATAAAGTCTAGATTTCTGGTCTTTTAAATAACTGGCAAATCTGGGCTGGCGTTGCTGAGTGGAGGCCACCCTGTGGCTGGAGCCTGAGCACTTGGGTTTCCTACAGCCTTCTCTATCCCTTCCCTGGCATTTCCTCTCTGAGGCCACACGCCAGCTGCCTTTATCACAGGCTTGTGCTGTTATTTTTCATACAGTAGACTGTTTTCTTACACACACCTGCCTGACCTTTGGTGGAATCTGATTTTAAGGCTCTCTCCCCTCAGGTACTGTCTCCTTCACCTCCTCCCACCCACACAGAACTCACTGGAGGCATGGCGCTTGACTTTGACCTGTGGATCCATTTGGTGGTACTTCTCACTGCAGGAGGAGGCGTGGCGCTTCACGTGGGTCCCAGTGGGACGCTTGGGCTCCTCGTCCTGGGTGAGAGGTGGAGGAAAAGGGTGAAGTCCAGGCAGGCTCAGAGTCATTGGTGTAGGGATGGATTTTGGTCTGTGCTCAGAGGATGAGTGCTGTGGGACCTCTGAGACCTGGCCTTACATTTTTAGTCTTGTGAAGCACTCAATAGTTTATAAACCACCTTCACTAGCAATATATCGTTTGATCCTCCTACCTCCCTGGGGCAGCAGAATGTGACTGTAAGCTGGAATATCCACTGACAGGGAAATTAGCGTCTCAAAAGGCTGGGTGGCTATATTTGATTTATCATAGATGTTTTGTCCTCATTTCACTTGGCACTATTCTGCAGATTTTCTGAATTGCTAATATAAGAGTCTCCAGTGAAGAAGTCATGAACACATTAGCCAATAGTAGAAGTTACATAACTTAATAGACCGGCTATACATTTGTGCATGAAGAGTATTAACACTCAAAGTCCTGTCAAAGCTCAGGAAACCATGAATGGAATAAGATAATAATGTAACTTAATAATGATGTCAATAACAGCATTGTTTACTCCCCTGTGTAAGACCTTCCAGTGTTCACGCACTCTGCTAACTTCTTTCCATGATTTAATTTAATTCTTGCAATAGTCCAATCAGTTAGGTTTGATCATATCCATCTGAAGCCAGGGAGTAAGGACCAGAGAAGTGAAGCCTAAGGTAAATCAGATTCAGCCCTGAGTCCAAAGTAGCCCTTAAGTGCTAAGCTGTCCTGCAACTAAGACTCTGCAACTTAAGCTGCATTCGCTGGTTTATCCAAGTCTGAAGAAAGACCATGTCAAAAGAAGACGATTGGGGAAGTTTCTAGAAAAGAGAGTCCTAGGGTGTTATCCAGGACTGTCCAAGGCAGAGGTCCTGGCTGGCAGAGACATGTGCTTTCCTTGGGAGCTTGATGCCCTTTCTCCCCTAGGTGTGGGGCCTGACTCACTCACCAATATCTACTCAGAAGGTGGTTCTCTGGCTCTGCTGTGTAAGGAGAAGGCACAGGACATGCTGCCGGGGGGAGCCCAGGTCATGTGATGGCTACAGGGGCCTCACTGAATTAATGAGCAGGCATCTCCTTGGTTTAGTGAGCCAGACAGGGAGACTCTGTCCTGGGAGCTGAAGCTGAAGCCCAGAGTGTGGAAGCTACCAGGTGGAGGCCTACTGGAGTGGTCACCCAGTCAGTGTCCTCCTCTGCTTTTGCCCCCAGACACCACTGAATCGGCAGTATCAGTTCACAGCACTAAACAGGTAGAGAGCCCCATACCTTCCTCAGACTGGAATAGTGCTTCACAGTTTACAGAGCCCTTTTCTCTTTCTGATCTGAGGACCTTTTCCCTGTACCAGCCAGTCTCCTGTGTCAGGGAATCCTCCTGAGCCACAATCTGTGATAAAAAGGGTCTTCCCTCCCCTTTCAGCTGTTAGTTAAATGAAAAAGATCTCTCTGAGGTAAAGGGAAAAGAAGTAGTGAGCGAGGGAGAGCTAACAGCGGCCTTTGTCGTGCCCCCGGGCAGCCCCAGGGGCCTTACTTGCACCTCTTCATGAGGAACATCGTCGTAGACATGAGGCTCAGGCCGTTGGTCCTGGCAGGAGCTTGCATATCTAGAATAAACAAGGCATGATGATGATGACAACCACACTGTGGCTTACAGTACTTTCCTGTCCACTCTCATTTGATTCAGGCAGCAGCTCATAAAAGATGTTATAAGGTTAGTAATAGCAAACATGCTAGGCAGCACTGGGCTATCGCTGTGTTAGGAGCTTCATAGTCAGGGGCCCATGTGATTCTCACAATAACCTGGGAAGCAGATAATTCACCACCTCCATTCTGTAAATGAGAAAAGACAGGGTCTAAGCTGGCAAGCAACCAGCCCAAGCTGTTGGTCATGCAAGAGCCATAATTCGAACCTGGCCCTTCTAATGTCAGACTCCATGTACCAGCCCTGTGTCTGCCTGGGTGCCCAAGGGAATGAGACTCTCAGGTTCTGCGGCTCATGAGGGTGGAGCCAAGGTCATATGCAGAAGGGCTTTTCCACTTTTGCTCATTCCCTCCACAGCCTTGCCCGACCCTGGGCTATCCCTCCTTTAGCCAGTTTGCCCCTGCTGGTGCCCACTCTGCCTTCCCAAGGAAGCAGAGTCCTTCTCATCCCTTCCTCCCTTCCCTCTCTGTGCCCAAGGCTGTTCTCAGAGCCTCTGAGGGAGCCCAGACAAGATAGGTCCTGCGCAGCTGTGGGCTGTGGGGTGCTGACCCTTACAGGAATGAGTTGCGCCCTGCACTGACGATGCTGGTTATGGTCTCCACGTCCACGTAATCATAGTGCAGCGCCTCAGGAGTGACTTTGGAGCCCATCTCCACCAGCAGCAGCCCAAGCCAACGGCCCATGTCCTCTGAGCAGCCTGCCTGAGGGAGAGGAGGCGCAAGCCAAGTTCATTTTGGCACTGTCAGGGTCTTGGGCTACTTGCTCACTTCAGCCAAACCCATAGTCATATAATACCTGTTATGTACCCAATAGTTACGGCTCCAAGAGCACCAAAACTAGTGCACTAACCCAGAAATCCAAGTGGCCCCCACTTTCCTTCTGTTCAGGTCTCAGCTCTACTGCCACTTCCTTAGAGATGCCCTTTCTGACCACCTCTCTAAGGCACACATCCTCACTTATTATTCTCAGAGACTTCCTGACCATTTAGATATGAAAACATGGGTATTCCCTGAATTAAAAAAAATATTTACTTTTTATTAGAGGAAGCTATTTCTCATATAACCCTATCATTTTTTTGTGTGTGTATTAAAATTGCCAATTGTTTGTAGTACTGTATACAGGAAAATCTCCTAGAAGTTGGTGGTCAACTAAGCACATATTTAAGTTAGTTCTCACTTACAGAGAGCATTATTATAAAATCAACTTAGCACGCAAATGCTAAACTTGAATAAAGGAAGCATATTTTTTGCCAGAAAGCTCTGTGTATAATTTAAGAGAAATAAGAGGCCCATCTCAAGCTATCAAAAACAAGTGAGTTACAGAGGCAGTATTTCTTGAAATTTAAGAACTGAGAGAGGCAGTAGGTACTAGACAAAGAATCCAAGACCAAGAGGTAGGTTTTAGTTCTAAGATAAAACCAAGGGGCCCCTGACCCTCTGTGGAGCCTTGGACAAAGCACTTGGCTGCCCTGCTTCAGTTTCCTTGTCTGTAATGTGAGGGGATATTCCTTAAGTTTTCCTTCAGTGTTAACATTTTAAATTCTTAGTAGCTGAAGGATTGACATATCGATGAGAGTTTCAGTGTATTTTGCATTGTCTCAGAGAGGAGGGCTCATGTCACCGGGCAGGGGCAACAGTAAATGGGTAGAATGAAATCACATTTTCATTCAGCTATTTGTTCAACAAATATTAACTGAGACCTTAGGGTGTGCCAGACATCACGCTGGGTTCTGGGAAAGCAAAAGTATGCAGAACAGGCATGGTTACTGCCTTCATGGAGCTTAAAGGCTTCACCTCAAATGGAGAAACTCTTCCTAAAGATTTAGCTGCTTGCTGGGCAGGGCAAGCTGTCATGAAGGGCAGTGGTTTTTCTGTGGTGGACGGCCACTGGTGGGGAGGTTTTAGAGGGGATTCCAGAATCAGATCCAGCTCAGATCAGACTAGATGCTTTTTAGGCTGGAGATTTTAATAAGGAGAATAAACAAACCTTGATTTTCTAGGGTTGCCAGATTTAGCAAATCAAAATGTGAAATGCTCTGTTAAATTCATATTTTAGGTAAACAATAATTTTCTAGTATAGGTAGATAATCTCATATTATTGCATGGGATATGCTTGATTAAAAACACTGTTTATTGTTTATCTGATTCAAATTTAAGTGGATGTCCTATATTTTTAACTGACAATTCTACCTGGTCACTTGGTCATTGCTAGGCTTACTTTCCCTTCCCCCTCAGTCCCTGTAGCGCCGGTGCCAAGGTCCCCGAGACAAAGCTGACAAGTAGGTCAGCACTCTCAGCTCCCACCACTGAGGATCGCCTGGTTCCTCTCTTCTCACCTCCAAGATGGTGACCTCCTGCTGGTTGCGCAGGATCCTGAAGGCAAATGGGTGTCTGGGCCCAAAGCCTGGGACTACCTCACAGCCATGGAGGGCGATGGCATTCACATGCGTCCGCAGGTCTGTTCGGTCCTTGTGGAAATACAGAGTGTTGCCATTCAGGCGGCACCAGCGTTCCTTCCAGCCCTGATTCACCAGCACGTTCAGGTGGCCTGAGGGGGAAGACCAGCAGTGTGACCTCCCAGCAGCCCAGTGCTGAGGAAACCCAAGGTGCGGTGCATGGGTCTACACCCCGGGGACCAAGTGCCTGGGCAACCCTTGTACTCTAATTGGAAAAAGGCTTTCTGGGTCTCGGGTCATCTACTTTCTTCAGGTTTTTGACCTCCAGCATCCTCTTCTTTTTCTCAATTTCAGTTTCCTGTCTGTGAAATGGGCACTGCTAATTACATTCATATATAGCTGCACAGCCATTGAACCATATCTGAGCTTGGCGATAAGGGCAGGATCTACTATATAGGATAAATAAAAGACACAATTCTCTTTTGCCTTTCCTTGCCCTGAAAGAGCAAAATGTTTACTAAAGGACAGAAAATAATGGGTGATGCTGACACCTGTGGGCAGCATATGGGGACAGAAACACCCAGCCAAGAGAGTCACTAAACAAGCTGAGGCTTCTCATGACGTTTCAGGTCTAAGTTATTTCGTTTACCATAACATGCTCTGATTCTCTGGTTAGGAAATATTTTTTATAGCCATATAAAAATGGCTATATATCTTTTTCAGGGCTAGTAGAATATTACTTCATATCCAAAATACATGATTTTCTGTTGGATTCCAGTATGTGTAACACTGCATTTATATGAGCAGAATAATAGGTTTTCTCTCCAAATCATGTTTAATTCACATTGAATACACTTATTATGAAAAGTACTTAAGTATTTTCATCTAAGAAATTTCCTAATATAAGACTGGGCTGTAACTTACACATCTGGCATGTTATATGCTGGCAAATAAGATACTCTCCTCTCCTCATAGTGGAGTAAACTGAGCCCAGAGACAGTGATCAGAGCTGAGGTCGCAGGGAGAACAGGAATGGGGAAGTTGGTTGGCTTTTCGTCTGCTGACCATCAGGGCCTCAAGAAAGAGAAGTGATGGAAGGGTGTGGATTGTTGATGCAGTGGAGATCAGCCCTCTAGTAGCTTGGATTCTTTCCTCTGCCCCAGGTAGAGGTAGGTAGGTCCTCAAGGATTTCCTGGCTTAGTCTCGGGGCCCTGCATCAGCAGAGTCTGAATATCCTCCTCCTCACACCTGGTACCCACCACAGCATGGAAACTCCTCCTCCGTGGGGGACGTCTGCTGGTCATTGGCAGGTAGCTTCTTTTTGGAGAAGCTGATGATGCGGGTGATCTTCCGGCCTGCAGCCCTGCTCATCGAGCCCTTCAGCTCTGCCAGACTGCTCTTCTTTCCTTTGCCTGTTTCCATGGAAATGTATCAGGGGAGGGGAGGAGTCCCAAATCTCAGATCTACCTGCCCTCATCCTCCCTGTGGCCCTTCCGGCCTGTACACAGAGCCTGGCCTGCTGCTCCAGGTGTGGACAGGCCAGGTTACCTTACCCAGGTCTCCAAAGTGGTCAGGACCTGCTTTGCACTGTGTGCACATAGCAAGTCCCCTCCCAGCTCTCACACTCTCCAGCCTGCATCCCCAGAGGCTCCTACCATGGTCACAGGCCTCCCGGCGGCCTAGAGTGGAACACTTGTCGCTGATGCCCAGGCTGTCGGAGTCTGAGGTCTGCTTACCATACCTTCCTCAGACTGGAATAGTGCTTCACAGTTTACAGAGCCCTTTTCTCTTTCTGATCTGAGGACCTTTTCCCTGTACCAGCCAGTCTCCTGTGTCAGGGAATCCTCCTGAGCCACAATCTGTGATAAAAAGGGTCTTCCCTCCCCTTTCAGCTGTTAGTTAAATGAAAAAGATCTCTCTGAGGTAAAGGGAAAAGAAGTAGTGAGCGAGGGAGAGCTAACAGCGGCCTTTGTCGTGCCCCCGGGCAGCCCCAGGGGCCTTACTTGCACCTCTTCATGAGGAACATCGTCGTAGACATGAGGCTCAGGCCGTTGGTCCTGGCAGGAGCTTGCATATCTAGAATAAACAAGGCATGATGATGATGACAACCACACTGTGGCTTACAGTACTTTCCTGTCCACTCTCATTTGATTCAGGCAGCAGCTCATAAAAGATGTTATAAGGTTAGTAATAGCAAACATGCTAGGCAGCACTGGGCTATCGCTGTGTTAGGAGCTTCATAGTCAGGGGCCCATGTGATTCTCACAATAACCTGGGAAGCAGATAATTCACCACCTCCATTCTGTAAATGAGAAAAGACAGGGTCTAAGCTGGCAAGCAACCAGCCCAAGCTGTTGGTCATGCAAGAGCCATAATTCGAACCTGGCCCTTCTAATGTCAGACTCCATGTACCAGCCCTGTGTCTGCCTGGGTGCCCAAGGGAATGAGACTCTCAGGTTCTGCGGCTCATGAGGGTGGAGCCAAGGTCATATGCAGAAGGGCTTTTCCACTTTTGCTCATTCCCTCCACAGCCTTGCCCGACCCTGGGCTATCCCTCCTTTAGCCAGTTTGCCCCTGCTGGTGCCCACTCTGCCTTCCCAAGGAAGCAGAGTCCTTCTCATCCCTTCCTCCCTTCCCTCTCTGTGCCCAAGGCTGTTCTCAGAGCCTCTGAGGGAGCCCAGACAAGATAGGTCCTGCGCAGCTGTGGGCTGTGGGGTGCTGACCCTTACAGGAATGAGTTGCGCCCTGCACTGACGATGCTGGTTATGGTCTCCACGTCCACGTAATCATAGTGCAGCGCCTCAGGAGTGACTTTGGAGCCCATCTCCACCAGCAGCAGCCCAAGCCAACGGCCCATGTCCTCTGAGCAGCCTGCCTGAGGGAGAGGAGGCGCAAGCCAAGTTCATTTTGGCACTGTCAGGGTCTTGGGCTACTTGCTCACTTCAGCCAAACCCATAGTCATATAATACCTGTTATGTACCCAATAGTTACGGCTCCAAGAGCATCAAAACTAGTGCACCAACCCAGAAATCCAAGTGGCCCCCACTTTCCTTCTGTTCAGGTCTCAGCTCTACTGCCACTTCCTTAGAGATGCCCTTTCTGACCACCTCTCTAAGGCACACATCCTCACTTATTATTCTCAGAGACTTCCTGACCATTTAGATATGAAAACATGGGTATTCCCTGAATTAAAAAAAATATTTACTTTTTATTAGAGGAAGCTATTTCTCATATAACCCTATCATTTTTTTGTGTGTGTATTAAAATTGCCAATTGTTTGTAGTACTGTATACAGGAAAATCTCCTAGAAGTTGGTGGTCAACTAAGCACATATTTAAGTTAGTTCTCACTTACAGAGAGCATTATTATAAAATCAACTTAGCACGCAAATGCTAAACTTGAATAAAGGAAGCATATTTTTTGCCAGAAAGCTCTGTGTATAATTTAAGAGAAATAAGAGGCCCATCTCAAGCTATCAAAAACAAGTGAGTTACAGAGGCAGTATTTCTTGAAATTTAAGAACTGAGAGAGGCAGTAGGTACTAGACAAAGAATCCAAGACCAAGAGGTAGGTTTTAGTTCTAAGATAAAACCAAGGGGCCCCTGACCCTCTGTGGAGCCTTGGACAAAGCACTTGGCTGCCCTGCTTCAGTTTCCTTGTCTGTAATGTGAGGGGATATTCCTTAAGTTTTCCTTCAGTGTTAACATTTTAAATTCTTAGTAGCTGAAGGATTGACATATCGATGAGAGTTTCAGTGTATTTTGCATTGTCTCAGAGAGGAGGGCTCATGTCACCGGGCAGGGGCAACAGTAAATGGGTAGAATGAAATCACATTTTCATTCAGCTATTTGTTCAACAAATATTAACTGAGACCTTAGGGTGTGCCAGACATCACGCTGGGTTCTGGGAAAGCAAAAGTATGCAGAACAGGCATGGTTACTGCCTTCATGGAGCTTAAAGGCTTCACCTCAAATGGAGAAACTCTTCCTAAAGATTTAGCTGCTTGCTGGGCAGGGCAAGCTGTCATGAAGGGCAGTGGTTTTTCTGTGGTGGACGGCCACTGGTGGGGAGGTTTTAGAGGGGATTCCAGAATCAGATCCAGCTCAGATCAGACTAGATGCTTTTTAGGCTGGAGATTTTAATAAGGAGAATAAACAAACCTTGATTTTCTAGGGTTGCCAGATTTAGCAAATCAAAATGTGAAATGCTCTGTTAAATTCATATTTTAGGTAAACAATAATTTTCTAGTATAGGTAGATAATCTCATATTATTGCATGGGATATGCTTGATTAAAAACACTGTTTATTGTTTATCTGATTCAAATTTAAGTGGATGTCCTATATTTTTAACTGACAATTCTACCTGGTCACTTGGTCATTGCTAGGCTTACTTTCCCTTCCCCCTCAGTCCCTGTAGCGCCGGTGCCAAGGTCCCCGAGACAAAGCTGACAAGTAGGTCAGCACTCTCAGCTCCCACCACTGAGGATCGCCTGGTTCCTCTCTTCTCACCTCCAAGATGGTGACCTCCTGCTGGTTGCGCAGGATCCTGAAGGCAAATGGGTGTCTGGGCCCAAAGCCTGGGACTACCTCACAGCCATGGAGGGCGATGGCATTCACATGCGTCCGCAGGTCTGTTCGGTCCTTGTGGAAATACAGAGTGTTGCCATTCAGGCGGCACCAGCGTTCCTTCCAGCCCTGATTCACCAGCACGTTCAGGTGGCCTGAGGGGGAAGACCAGCAGTGTGACCTCCCAGCAGCCCAGTGCTGAGGAAACCCAAGGTGCGGTGCATGGGTCTACACCCCGGGGACCAAGTGCCTGGGCAACCCTTGTACTCTAATTGGAAAAAGGCTTTCTGGGTCTCGGGTCATCTACTTTCTTCAGGTTTTTGACCTCCAGCATCCTCTTCTTTTTCTCAATTTCAGTTTCCTGTCTGTGAAATGGGCACTGCTAATTACATTCATATATAGCTGCACAGCCATTGAACCATATCTGAGCTTGGCGATAAGGGCAGGATCTACTATATAGGATAAATAAAAGACACAATTCTCTTTTGCCTTTCCTTGCCCTGAAAGAGCAAAATGTTTACTAAAGGACAGAAAATAATGGGTGATGCTGACACCTGTGGGCAGCATATGGGGACAGAAACACCCAGCCAAGAGAGTCACTAAACAAGCTGAGGCTTCTCATGACGTTTCAGGTCTAAGTTATTTCGTTTACCATAACATGCTCTGATTCTCTGGTTAGGAAATATTTTTTATAGCCATATAAAAATGGCTATATATCTTTTTCAGGGCTAGTAGAATATTACTTCATATCCAAAATACATGATTTTCTGTTGGATTCCAGTATGTGTAACACTGCATTTATATGAGCAGAATAATAGGTTTTCTCTCCAAATCATGTTTAATTCACATTGAATACACTTATTATGAAAAGTACTTAAGTATTTTCATCTAAGAAATTTCCTAATATAAGACTGGGCTGTAACTTACACATCTGGCATGTTATATGCTGGCAAATAAGATACTCTCCTCTCCTCATAGTGGAGTAAACTGAGCCCAGAGACAGTGATCAGAGCTGAGGTCGCAGGGAGAACAGGAATGGGGAAGTTGGTTGGCTTTTCGTCTGCTGACCATCAGGGCCTCAAGAAAGAGAAGTGATGGAAGGGTGTGGATTGTTGATGCAGTGGAGATCAGCCCTCTAGTAGCTTGGATTCTTTCCTCTGCCCCAGGTAGAGGTAGGTAGGTCCTCAAGGATTTCCTGGCTTAGTCTCGGGGCCCTGCATCAGCAGAGTCTGAATATCCTCCTCCTCACACCTGGTACCCACCACAGCATGGAAACTCCTCCTCCGTGGGGGACGTCTGCTGGTCATTGGCAGGTAGCTTCTTTTTGGAGAAGCTGATGATGCGGGTGATCTTCCGGCCTGCAGCCCTGCTCATCGAGCCCTTCAGCTCTGCCAGACTGCTCTTCTTTCCTTTGCCTGTTTCCATGGAAATGTATCAGGGGAGGGGAGGAGTCCCAAATCTCAGATCTACCTGCCCTCATCCTCCCTGTGGCCCTTCCGGCCTGTACACAGAGCCTGGCCTGCTGCTCCAGGTGTGGACAGGCGAGGTTACCTTACCCAGGTCTCCAAAGTGGTCAGGACCTGCTTTGCACTGTGTGCACATAGCAAGTCCCCTCCCAGCTCTCACACTCTCCAGCCTGCATCCCCAGAGGCTCCTACCATGGTCACAGGCCTCCCGGCGGCCTAGAGTGGAACACTTGTCGCTGATGCCCAGGCTGTCGGAGTCTGAGGTCTGCTTCTCTTGGGACAGTCTCTGAGGAGGGACAGAGACAGCCCCATGCCAGAGGGCACACTCAGAAGTCTTCCTTTGTTGGTTCAGTCCCCCCGAACCCCAACACTCCTGCACATGGTGATTAGCTAATGAATATTTGTCAGCAACACTCAGGTGCCTGATAACCAGGTAAGAGAGGACAGCAATGACTTAGGATGGCTGTGTCTTCGAGTCACTCACAGTCTATTTGGGAAGCAAGGCAATTAATCACAGTGCATTGAAATGAATTCCTCAGACTTTGGAGCATATGTGACAGGGGGTGGGCAAGTATTTAAGTGGGATAGTGCTATAATGCAGCTGGTTAAGAAGTTGCCTCTAGTGGCATTGTCGGGGGGAACAAGAAGGAGCCGGACTGGAAGCAAAAGAGCCACCAAGAGATCATCATGCTGGGCAAGATGAGCCTTGGTAAGGGGCTGAGCTGGGACGGCAGTGAGGACGGAGAAGAGGAGATGAGTTGGCACGTTCAAAGTAGTCACAGCAGGACTTATGAGTGGTGATAAGAGGAATGTTCACACTCCTGGCTCAGGTGAGAGGGCAGTAAAGATGCCTTCATGTGCACCATAGCAACGACTTCACTGTGATTGACATCGCTTACTCATGCCAGTCTGGGCCAGTCATTCATCCTTCATCTGTTCATTCATTCGTTCATATGAGAGCAGTTAATTGCCTACTAGGTAGGCAAAATAGGTGGTGTGGAGTGGTCAAAGGGACCTGGGAAGAAACTCAGTCTCTAGTACCACCTGTTCATTGGGGGAAAGTCCTTTCATCTCCCTAAAGCTCAGTTTTCTTACCAGAATCTGACCCTTTTTAGTGGGCTGTGGCACCAGGAAGCCAGCGCAAGTGAAATTGTGAGGCCGACAGATCATATCACTCCTAGTACCTGTATGGCGCTGCCACCTCACTTTAAGAAGCTAAGCTGTGCCAGCCAAACTTGGGACAGGATTAAAATGGCATCCACCCATTTAAAACAGTGGAATTACAGAGCTCTGAGGCCCCTAAACTTTTCCTGCTAAATTCCTCCCAGATGAGGCTCAGGGATTCTTTGCTATAAGCATGATACAAGAGGTAGGACAGGCCATGCGCTCCCAGTTTCCAAAGGCTGGAAAAATGGCAACTGTCAGAATTGGGATAAATCTGTCAAAAGAATATAGAATCACCCTTAAAAATTGTGAAACAGAAGTTATGTTTCTATGCATTCTGCAGCTATGTACAGATGGTAAGTTTTTCATCAAGATGGAAAGCAAATACCAAGAAACACGGGGCACTTGCAAACTGACTGAATGTTGATGACACTTCAATTACAAGATTACACGGAGAGACATGCCCATTCCCATTTCTCCAAAAATACCACCTTACGTATTTTACTGCCCTCCTGGTGTATACTCAACCACAGGAGAGCCTATCCCTCCAGACTTGCCTCTTCTCTCTCCACACGTTTGAACTGAACAACATTATGCACCTGCAGGTATATAAACATACACACACACACGCACACACACACACTGTCTCATACCATCAGTGTTGCTTTCCTTCAGGCCCCACTAGTGGCAGAGGCCAGTGAAGACACAGCTGAGCGTCTCCTCTAGCATCTGCATGAGACCCCTCCTGTCCTGGTGCCTACCTGCTGACCCCACACCTTTGCTTCTGCTGCTCCGTTCCCCTGCAGTCCCTGTCCCTTGGCACACCTCTGTCCCTGTGCAGTCATGCCCATTCTCTAAGGCTGAACATAGGTGCCTAAGCCCAACCCCCTCACCCTTACAGCTAGCACAAGCCACTGTCCCACTCACTAGAGCCTTCCAGGACCACTCTGATAGGGCTCACAACCCCTGACCCTCTCCAGGCCCAGCCATGCTGGCCCCTTTCCATTCCATGCTGCCTCCTGCTCCAGGGCCTGTAACCTCTGCTTAGGATGCCTTTTCCTTCACCTTTCTCAATAATTTCTCACCCTCGTCTGAAGTGCAGTTCTTTAGGGAGGCCTTTTCTAACCCCTGAGACAAGGGCAGGCCCCCTGGGGTAAGCTTCCAGAGTACGAAAGAGTTGCATAAGTTTAATTAGGTAATACATGTAAAGCTCTAGAACAAATACCATCCACACAGTTATATTCCGTAAGTGCTAGCCTTTATTACACCATAGAAGAGCCATGTACATGGGCCTTAAACCTCCTTCTATGGCTTGGGGCTGAGTCTCTTTATCATCTGTAGCACCAAGCAAAGAATAGGCACCAGCACGTTTTTGCTTACAGCCAGATGAACTACAAAATGACTGCTTCACTCATGTCCCAGTAAAGCCTGCACCTCTCACAAACTGCAATTTACTTTTCATGGCTCTGTTCAAATGTGACCTCTTCCTATCCTGGTAGGGTTAGTCACTTCCTCTGGCTTGTAATGCACCTTGAACATGGACTTATTCATTCCTTAATTCAGTAGACATTTATTTATTGAGCATCTACTGTTGTGCCAGCTCCATGCTGAGCACTCACAGCCTATGCAGTACCACCACGGATGCCTGGCTGCACCAGCCTGTGAGCTCCCCTGGCCCATGCCATGTTCCCACTGCTGGGCCCAGAGTAGACCTTGTAGAGATGGAGGTACCTTGTCTAGGTCCAGCTTGCACAGGAGGACTGGGGATCTGGGTAGTCCCGCCCCCTGTGCACCTCCAGCAGGCTTGCTCACCTCTCGGATGACCTGTGGAGAGGAGGCACAGTTGTGAGCAGGGGGGCAGGGATTCTGTGGAGGCAAAAGGAAATGGGGTCTGTGTGGTCAGGGCCATCAAGCAGAGGGGTTGGGATCCCTGCATATATAAGGTGGATTGATGTGACCTCCTGTCACATGTGTGGGTCATGTCAGAGTTTGAATAGGCTTTCAAGTATTTTTGTTTCTTGAGTTGAAAAGATAATGGGGCTGGAAAACAAGAGGGTTGGCTTCCAGGCCTGTCTCTGTCACTAAGTAGTTGGGTCCTTGGGAAAGCAACTTCCCTGTTCTGATTGTAACATGGTGAGAATACTGGTCTTTTGTGTACTTCCTTGGACTGTCTGAGGACCAGTGAGATAATGGGTGTGAAAAACCATGTTAACCACGAGGGACTTGCTTCTGGGACCATGTTAGGCCTTTACAGTTTACAGGGCAGCTGTGGCTATTCCCTTCATTTCAAAGATGTAGAAATGGAGACTGCAAGGCCTTCAGCCAAGGCCACATAGCAGAAGCATCCAGATCATTGAATAATAACAGCCACCACTTGTTGCTCACCTATCTTTGCTTTATGTGGATTATCCCAGTGTACTCCATAGCAGCCTGTGGGTCAGGCATGGCTGTGATCCCCAAGTTACAGGTTAGGATGGCCCGGCTCCGAGAGGTGAAGCTACGGTTGCCTCCCTTAACCTCTGGACTGCTGCTCTCCCAGGGTCTGGATGCCAGGGCCAGCCTTACACTTTGGGTCTAGGGATCTTTCTGACCCACCAGCAGCCCCCCTGAGGTCAGAAGCTCCCCTATCAGGCAGGTTGTCTCTCTCCCTACTCCTCCTGAGAACAGGGCAGTAGTGAGAAACATCAGCATCTCAGTGGGAGAGCTGGTTATTTCAGGGAGGGAGAGTGGATGGGAGGGAGGGGGGTGTTTGGTTTCTGTTCCAGAAGAATATCAGAGAAGGAGAGAGCAAGGGGTCAGCGCAAAGTAGAGGCAGGGTGCAGGGGCAGAGGGCCTGCTGTAGGGGCCTGAAAGTGGGGCTTCCGAACCATCACCACACAGTAATCCCTGACACGTTCAGTGCATACTGCCGGGCAGGCACTACATCACGTTTGCTCTAGAATCTTTATAAAAACCATTTCATAGAGGAGGAAGCTGAGGCACAGAGAGGTGAAGTCATTTGCACATGATCACGTAGTGGTAAGTGCTGGTTAGGCCTTGGACCTGAGCTCAAGTCTGTGCTACCAGAGTCTTCCCTTGTCATCACTGTGTCGTCCTGCCTATGGTCTTTGGAGTAGGTTTTCTTGTTTGCTTCTAACCCTGACCCCAGTCACTTGGTTGTGGGAGCTTGGGCAAGTCACATAAATTTCCTGTACCTCAGTTTTCTCATCTGTAAAAGTGAAACAATAATGGTCCCAATGTGAAGAATAAGTGAGGTCATGTATGTAGAGCTTTTAGCACAATGCATGGCACAAAGTAAATGTCCAAAACAAAACAACTCTGATGTGCAGAAGCTAGACCACAGGTGGATGTTATGAGGATGCACATTTCACCTAAGACAAGGAGGATTTTTCCTTTTTTTAAAAAATAAGATTGGCTTATCTAATGATAAAAATAGCTTCCTTCAAAGATATTAAGCTCCCTGTGCCAGGAGGTGTACATGTGCAGGCTGGACAAGCCCACAGTAATGATGTTAGAAAGCTATTCAAATAACTAGAAGGAAAACAATATTCCAGCCTGAGGTCTGTTTACTGGCGATGGCCATGGCCCATTTCCACACGTGAGCCCTAGCTGTGCAGAGGACACTGACTCCCCGCTACCCTGAGCAGGATCTTTTCTTTCAGGGATGGGAGCCCACCCCACTGAGTGCTAGGCCTGGGGAAGCGAGGGTGAGTGGGAGGGGCACAGGCTCCGTGTACCTTCAGCCATTCCTCGGCCTGCTCCTGGCTCTGCAGTGCCAGCACCAAGACCTCGGCAGCCCCCTGGGAGAAGCGCAGCTCATGCCTCTTGTGCCGGCTGTCCTTGGGCACATAGATGACACTGCAGATGTCCAGCGCCAGCCTCAGGTGTGGCTGCCGGTCCTTGGAGCTTTTGTAACACTGGGCAAGGAGAGAAGGGGTCAGGGTGTCCTATAGTGGAGGATGGGGAGCCACCCTAACACACACTCAGAGAACTCCAACCCACCCCAGAGATCCCCCCAACCAGAGACCTCCCCCACTCCCTCAGACGGGCTGTGCCTCTTGGCCCTGAGGAAGGGAGGCCTGATGGGGGGGGGGGTCTTTGGGCAATCTTCAGATCTCAAGGATTCCCCAGGGAGCAAAACTACCTATTTGGAAGAGGCAGATTTTAGTACGGCACTAGGAAGACCATTCTAGTCTAAAGAGCCAGAGAGGAAATAGGCTGGCTTGGGAGGAAGCCAGCTCCTTGCTACTAACAGGCAACATGCAGGAATGTGGGAGAGAATTCTGGTGGGGACAGAGGATTGGCTCCGGGAAGTCAGTAGTTTATCAATAACAGTTCTTACTTCCCAATTCTTACTATGCAGTTAGCATTACCTTGACACCAGAACCTGACAATGACATTAGAAAAAAGCAAAATTCTAGGCAATCTCTCTCACAGCATAGTTACAAAAGCCCTAAATGAAATACTAACAAATAGAATTCAGACACATAAAAAAAGCACAGTGCATCAAGGCCACTTGTGGCTTATTCTGAGAACACAAGACTAGGTTAACATTGAAAAACCAACCTTATAATTCAGCATATTAACAGAAACAAGGAGAAAAACCACCTACGTCAATAGAAGTAGAAAAAGCATTTGCTAACATTTCATACCCACTTGTATGATAAACTTAGTAAACTAAGGATGGGAGGGAAACTTCCTTCGTGGGATAATAAAGAGCATCTACAAACAACCCACAGCAAACACCAGCTTCGATGGTGGATTACTGCAACTTTCCCTTCAAGATCTGGACTGAGATATTTTACTCACCACTTCTGTTTACATTGTACTAACCAATGCCATCAGTTAAAAAAAAAAACAACCAGAAGGCATAGGAGTGAAAAGGAGTAAGTCTTGGACTAGTTCTGACCTGGCATAAGCTTTTCACTGCTGCAGGATAAGAAAAGGTCATGTTTCAAGTGGATATATGTTGGGCAAAAGGCTTATCAGCAGCTTTTTGGGTCAAGAGGCATTATTCATTATTTTTTCTTAAATGATTTCCATCTTCCTTTGGAATTAAAGGTACATTTTCTTTTATGAGATGATGGTGAGAGAGATGGTGAATTAAAAATCATAATAAATGGTGCATGGGCTCAGTTTCAGAAAGGATGTATGGAAATCAAGGTAGATATATGTATATTAAAATTTAACAGTGGTTAGCTCTCGTTCAATGTGATTATAGATTTAACAAAATCATTTTGTATAATAAAAAATAATAAACATTATTTTGAAGTGGCAAAAAATTCATTCCTACCAGAAAAAAAACTTGGTAAACTCTTTATCAGGTCTGAGTTTTGTTTTTGTTTCTGTTTTTAATTCGGCCTGAGTTGGAGCACCCTGATCTCAGAAGCACTGGGCTTTGAATCTCTGTTTACAAAGTAAGTCCAGAGGAACTGAAGCAGACACCTGCACACACACAGACACACACATATGTGTGTGCGCACAAGTCCATGTGAGGCTTGAGCCACACATCCTTGGCCACTCACCAGGAGCTGGTCCTCCTTGATGACAGTCAGCTGCTTGGCCCACTGCCCGAAGCGCTTTTTCCGCAGCAGGAAGGCACATATCCTGCAGTCCCTGACCAGGTGCATGGAGGCTTCCTCTGAGGGCCACTGGTGCATGAGCTGCGGCCCCTTTCCTTCCTCCTCCTCCTCATCGTAGGACTCGTAGGAGCTGCTCATTGCGTCAGAGTCATTGTCTACAGGAACCACAGGAAAGGACCCATCACTGTGCCATCACCTGGGAGGCACTTTCTTTCCCTCCACGGGAGTCTCTGCCCTGGGGCCTGGGACCCTGAAGGGGTGGGCAAGAGGCTGATAGCAATAATGACTGAACTCCAACACAGGCACTGTGTTTTACAGATTTATCCCTGGCTTGGTGATCTTGATGACTTCACTGCTCACAGTTTCCATTTTTTTTATTGGTAAAATGGTCATAACAAACAACAGTATCTGCGTCTCAGGGTTATTGTGAGGATCAGTGAGTGCAGAGTATTTCACCCAGTGCCTGGCAGTCAGTGAGTGCTCAGTAACCATCAGCTCTTGTCATTACCCCATCATCTTTGTATCCCTTGTCTCAGGGTTTTCACAGCACCCAAAAAATCCCCATTTTATACAGAAGGACCTGGGGGCTCAGAGAGAATAAGCAACGCATCTAAGGCCAGTCACAAGGGGCAAGGCAAGGGGCAGATCCAGGGCTCCTGACTCTCAGGCCAGTGGTCTCTCAGCGGATCCCAGGATCTCTGAGTAAAAGCTTTGGTGCCTCTGGTGACCTCAGGGTGGGCACATGTATGCCAAGGGTTAGGGCAGGGCTGGCTCTCAGAGGACAGAACCCTTGTGAACACTTGCCCAATACTTACAGGAGCTCTTCAGCTCCCCATTCATCCTGGTTGCAGGGTAGCTGCTGTCTGCATCCTCATAGTAGCCATCTACGATGGAGTGGGCTGGGCTGCAGCCATCTGTTGGGGGTGGCAGAAAGAGCCACATGTTGGAGAAATGCAGACTCCAGGGGATGTGGCTAGGCAAGACCCTGGACACCATGCCCCTCTTCAGGGAAGAGAGAATGGAGCTTTTCGCAGCTCCCCAGACAGTGTGTGAAGCCTCCTCTGGGCACTCATCTGCTCCAGCTTCCCAAATGCCCTCTGCTCCTGTCGTCAGGAACTGCTAAGGCCCTTTCACCCTTCCAAGCCTGTGTTCTCATTATTCCCTGTGCTCTCTTAGCTTCTGCCAGAGAACTTCTGATCCTTCAAGACCCAGCTCAAAGATCTTTTCTCTGACCTTTCCAGCAAAGAGTAGTTAGCCCCTCCTCAGGGACCCTGGAGCACTGGGGGGTGTGCATGCCCCTTGGTCGCAGTTCTGATCCTGTCCTGTTGGAAGTGGTTCCCCAGCTCCCTAGGTTCAGTCCCTACCCCTGCTCTGCCTCTGCCTCAGCTTCCGCCACCTCAGCCCTTCTGCTCATGTACTGATGCATTTGTTCCCTCTTCTTGTCAAAGTAATTCTCCTTTCAAACCTCTGACTATATAGGAGGACTGGACTAGAGGAGATAAAAATAATGCCTACAGTAGTGAATGCAGCAGCTGACCATGATGAATTTTCACAACACTTTGCCATTCAGAAGGTTGGGTGTATCTGTATCACAAATTGTATTCTGTATCAGAATATCAAATTTACTGGGGATCTTTTTAAAATACAGAACCCATAGATTTCTGATTCACTGGTATGGGCTGAGCTGACGAATCTGCATTTTAGAAAAAAACCTATATAATAGGACATTATCAAACATACGTAAAAATAGAAAATATATTGAACTCCAAGGCATTGGATTTTTTAACAAAACAAAGTTATTTTGATGCAGATGGTCTCTGGAACATATTCTGAAGTTCAGTAGGTAACAATTGTGCTTTGGGGTTGATCAATCTGAGTTCAAACCTATCTGCACCATTTATCAAGTGACCTTGGAAAGAAAACAGTTTTTCTGCATTTCATATTCTTCACCTTAAAGTGCCGTGAACAGTTTCCACTTTGGATTATTAACACAATGTGTATAAATTCGCAGGTAGTGCCCGACACATAGACTGTACTAGACAAATGCCAGATGTCATTATGATTATCTCCTCTGAGTCCCACAGTGTGGAGGTGGGTATCAGCCCCATTTTACAGATGAGGAAACCGAAGCCACACAGTCTGCTAGTGACAGAGCCTGGATGGGAACTAAGGTTGTCAGGTCAGGGAGTAGGTGCACATCCCCTCCTCCAGGAAGCCTTCCTTCACCTTGTCCAACTCATTCTCACACCACACTGTTCAAAGTACTGCTCTGGGCTCCTAGCCCCTGCCATCCGTTTCCTGAGGATGGCAGCACTCACTTCCCAGCAACAGAGACACCCCGTTCTATCTCCCAAGTGAGATTCAGAGTCTGCCTTTTCCAACAAATATCCTGTGTGGTGGATTGCATGTCAGGGCCAGAGATGGGGGCAGAGGCAGAAGCGGTGCGGTGGGGAAGAGGACAGGCAGAAGGGTAAAGGGCTCAGACACCTTGCAGGGCTGGACACTGTGTGAGAGGAAGGGTACTCCCTTGACAGGCATGGTGCCCTCTCCCTCGACAGGTGCCCTGGCTCTTACTGAGGTCCTCCCCCACCTCCTGCCTCAGGATCCCCTCTGCGTCTGGAGGTGGCTTCTCTGCCCTCTCTGAGAGGTGAGTGGGTGCTCTGGGGAGCAGGAGGAGCCTTATCCAGCTGAGGGGCTTGACCCAAATGCCCATCGACTGATGAAGGGATAAATAAAATATGGTATAGTCACACAATGAAATATTATTTGGCCATAAGGAGGAAAGAAGTACTGAATATGCAATGACACAGGTGAACCTTGAAAACATTCCACTAAGTGAAATAAGCCGGACAACGCAAGGCCACACATTTATGTCTCCATTTATGTGAAAGGTCTAGAACAGGCAAATCCACAGAGGCAGAAGCAGATTGGTGGTTGCCAGGGGTTCAGGGGAGAGGGAAACAGGGAGGGACTGCTTAATGGGTGTGGGGTTTCCATCTGGAATGACAGTGTTTGGGAACTAGACAGTGGTGATGGCTGCACAGCCCTGTGAATGTGCTAAGTGCCACCAATTGGACACTTTGGCTGAAATGGCCAACTTTATGTTATGTGTATTTTTCTACAAATAAAAAAAAAGGGCCCATGGTAAAAAAAAGTCAGTACAGAAGAGTGTGAATGGGAAAATATGTTCCCTTCACCCAGATTTCTATTCATTTCCCACAGGAAAATACTGTTGATGGTTTCTTGTGTATCTGAGAAAAACTGTCAAAATGAATGTATGTGGTAACAAATAGAATCATGTTATATGCAGGCATCTGTGTTTAATTTTTTTTCAATGAATGTATCTTAGAATTCACTTCTGATCAGCACAGACAGACCTGCTTATTTTTTGTTGGTTGGAGATATTCCACTATGCTTCTGAATGATAGTCTCACACAAACAACATCTAACAGGAGTTCAACTGCACATGCTGGGTCATCCAAAAACTGTAATATAATTTTTTGTATGCAATGTTAAATCCTTATACCCAAGCCAGTGACTTATCTGATCCTTAAAGAAACAGACATCTGTTGTAACTCTGGAAGAAACTGATCTCTCAGTGAGTCAAAAATTAAAGATTCTTTCCTTTAAATATAATTTTTTGTATGCAATGTTAAATCCTTATACCCAAGCCAGTGACTTATCTGATCCTTAAAGAAACAGACATCTGTTGTAACTCTGGAAGAAACTGATCTCTCAGTGAGTCAAAAATTAAAGATTCTTTCCTTTATAGCTGATTTAAATGATCTTTCAAAGGTGATTTGTACCTGTAAATTATTTAGTGTCCTCTCAATTGTTTTATTGTGCTTGCCTATTAGTAAAAATATATATATGTATATATAAATTATATATGTGAAGTAATCACAAATATTATTAGATTACAAATACTATAAAGCATTCACAAAGAAATTTTAAAAAGATGTATTAAACTAAATATAAATAAAGCTTCTAATATCTGCCCACATCATTTCATGAATCCCCTGGAGAGCCCATACTCTGCTCTGAAGACCTCTGATTTTGACCATGTACTTTTTTATCTTCTGCATTAACTTTACAACCTAACCCACCTTTAAGATATGATTCTGCTGAAACACAAATTATTGCAGCAGTCCATGGAAGAGGGGCATTTAGGTCAATGCCAGCATCAGTGCTAGGAGCCATACTGTAGTGGTCGTCTGCATATCTCCATCCTAGCACATTTATACACATGTATGTAGCTCATCTTCCTTATTTTAAGGACAGGGAACAGAGATCCAGATGGGGCAAGGGTCACACAAGGCCATGTGACTGGGACTAGAACTCAGGCCCCTGATCTCTGGGGCAAAATCCCCACTGCCCACCCAGGCCATCGCTAGAGAGGCTGATGCTCAGGCATCTCCTCAGGATGTGGCATGGCTGGGGGTGTCAGGCTTGGAGCTCCAGTCCGTTGGAGCTTCAGGACAGAAGCCTCTTTCTCCTCCTCACTCCCAGCCCCCAGGAGACCAGAGCTTACTGTGGGAGCTGATGTACTCAGGGGCCCTGCCAGGCCCTAGGGGAAGGGCCTCCTCGTAGTGGTCCTCGGGTGGTGGCTTGCTGGGGAGTGGCGGAGGTAGGTGGGCTGCCTGGAGGGGAGGAGAGGAGGGCATAAGACAAGAAGGCCAGGGGCACAGACAGGAGCATGTGGAGTGACAGGAGGGCGACTGGGGGACAGGGAGGCCTGGGCTCCTAGAGGGCAGGACACAGTGAAGCTGTAACTTCTCAGAGAGAGACAGAAGGGCCGGGTTGAGAAACGCTGAGAATTCATTTGGTCCTATGTTTCTAACCCAATAATTTAAGCATCTGGGCTTCTCTGTATCTTAAAGTTTGTGGACTGCCACAGAGATGTAGTTATAGTCTTGACTGAGTACATGCAGGATCATCAAAAGCTGTGAGTTCTACAATATTTGGCAACTGCTTCTAAATACATGTGAAGAACAGTAGTGCCTCAAAGCTGAGAGCTTAGGTTCTGGGGCTGGGGAAACCGCAGCTTTACAGCTAAGCTCTGTCACTTCCTAGTTGTGCAACACTGACGTGTCACTTAGTCTCTCTTAGCCTCAGTTTCCTTACCTGTAAAATGGGGATAACTCTTGCCAACCTCATTCAGTTGGTGTGAGCATATAATGGACAGAGTAAGTGGTCAATAAATGGTACCATTGATGGTGACGATAACAGTGAATCATGCAGTCGGCAGACAACGCCTGACGTGATTATGGGCCCCTTGCCTTGATTCTATGGCCCCAAGGCTGGGAACCCTAGGTAGGATCCAAACGTTCAATTTGTAGGTGAAAAATTCTGGCTCAGAAAGGGGAAATGATTTGCCTACGTCTATACAACAGTAGGAAAGAGGGCAGAGACCAGTCAGCTCTGGTCCTGAGCTTCCCCACCACTCTGCCTGTAATATAGCGGTCAGTGGTTGGGGTGGGAACGTCCTTTGGGCCTGAAGGGACAGGTCAGTTCCCCACATTATCTCTGCTCAGCATGGGCACAGTGAGCATGTCAAGAGCCATTGAAATGTTCTCAAGGTGCTGTTTCTGCCCTTAACTACCACACAGAGGAGAAAACAGGGCCCTGCATAGCCAGGAGGGTCCCCAGCATTAGCAGGGAGGGCTCCCCTTGCCCCTCCAGAGGGACAGAGGGCCTGAGGGTGTGGGAACCCAGGCCACACTCACCTGTTTCCGAGATGGGCTCTTGGCTGGCTCGGGTCTAGCTCCTGTGCAGGGCTGTCCGTCATCCTCTGGCAGGTCCCGAAGCTCGCTCAGGTCACAGTCTATGGAGGGTCAAGCCATTGAGGCAGAGAAAGCCAAGGATGAGCACGGTAGTGTGGCAAGAAGTCTGGACTAGGGGTCAGGAGGCCTTTACCATCACTTCCATTAGTAACCCTGAGCAAGTGAGGCTTGCTAGACACTTTGAGTCCTTGTCTCATCTGTAAAGTGGTCATAATAATGATCCCTGCCTTGTCTCTCTCCCAGCATTATGGAGAGGATCTAATGAGATAATATTTGGTGTGGTGCTTTGGAAAGTCTCAGAGATCATGTTATGAAGGTGCAAGGTTTTTCCTAAGTCTGTCAGTCCCTAAACTCTCTCACCTGATCCATAGCTTTCTGCTGGTGCTGAACAGTGCTCTCTTTCCTTGGGATACAGTAGGGACCTCAAATAGCCTGCACACAGCCAGTACCGATGGCACTGCTGTGATGGATGCGAGCAGCAGGCAAGACAGTATCCATGTGTCCTCCCTTCTTTTGCCTGCATGCTCATCCCTACATTTCCTCAAATTTTAGGGATGATTTCCCATAACAGTACAGGTTTTGATGAGACTTTCAGACCTGGCAAGGCCCAGAGAGACCAAGGGACTTGCCCAAAGTGACTCGATGTTGTGACCTTAGAGGTAGGCCTACATGCAGGTATTTTCCCACCCAGTCCAGGGATCCTTCCAGAGACTGGGGTGGTGACACGCACTCGCAGGAGAGGATGGCTTCCAGCTGAGGTCGGGAGAGGGTTACTTGCCGAATTCTTCAAAGAGGGACTCCACGAAGCTGGGCCCGAAGTGTAGGTCCGCTGCACTCACATTCAGGTAGGAGGAGTCTTTTGCTGTGAGGAGGACAACGTCCCAGGGTGAGGGAGGAGGGGGCTGCTACTGACTCTGAGCAGGGCCAGGGCTGCCCCTCCCAGCTCAGACTTCATCCCACATAGGACACAGCACTTGGTTTACAAAGCATGTTCACGTCCTAAATTACTCCCATGGCTTTTAAACTTCGTTTTTATTTTTACATTGTTACTAAGGATCCCTTTCTCCAAGTGAAAGGATGCCCAGAGCCCACTATAGAAAACAGAGTACAGGGGCTGCTCTGGGGATGCCTGGGGACAGGGTCTGGCAGGCACAGGCTGTGAGTGCCACCTCTCTCATCTCCACAGTCCTGTGAGGGCAGCAGATGACATCGACCTGTTGTCTCTGAGAAGTGGGGATAAAAGAGTCACCAGTGGTGTCTTCCCTGCACATAACTCAGACCCCTCCAACACTGTGGGACGCAGTGCATCTCCTTAGAGTTTAGCAAGCTCTTGGGTTTATATGTGTCATCTTGAGAGTTGACTTGGGGTGTAGTGATAAGGCTGGAGCAGATGAGGAAGGCTTGCTGCATGCAGAGCAGACAGACAGAGAGGCTGGGGGACTAGAGGAGGGAGCATGGGTAAAGCTGTGGGGCTGGTGGACCACTCACAAAGTGAGCATGTGTGTGCGTGTGCATCTCTGTGTAGGAGTGTGTGTTGTGTGTCTAGTGTGCATTTGTTGTGTGTGCTATGTGTCTGTGATCTATGTTTGTGTGTGTTCTGTGTCCTGTGTGCTGTGTGTGAGAACAGGTGTGTGATGTTTGATGTGCTCGTTATGTACCCAAGCACGTGCTGTTGGTGAGAGCATATCGTGTATTTGCCTGTGTGCCATATGTAGGTGTATTTGTTATGGATGTGCTAAGCCTGTGAGTTGTGAGAGTGTGTTGCATGCGTGAGTGTATGTGAATATGTGCGGCATGTGTGTTGTGTGTGAGTCCGTAGTGGGTCGTGGATGGAGGAGTACAAAGACTGCAGCTGGGGTTGTGGTGGGGAAGGGCCAGAGGGGAGGGGGACATCGGCCAGGCCATGAGAAGTCCTGAATGCCATGCTCTGAGGCCCCTCCTGGCAGGCTCTGGGGAATGACTGAGGCTTTCCGAGGAGCTCTGTGCAGAGCACGGATGGCTGACCTGGGAGGGGCTGCAGGCTCTGCAGGATGGAGGCCACGGCCATCTTCTTCTCCAGGGTTGTGTCACTGAGGTACTCATGGTCCAGGAGGCTGAGCAGCCCCGTGAGTTCAGGGAGCAGCTGTTCCAGCACTGAGAAGGAAGCATGGTCATGGTTCTGTGTCCAGGATCCCAGCCCCACACCGGCCCACAGAGGCCAGGCAAGCAGGGGCCAGAGGGCAGGGCCCGGTGCAACAGGAAGGCCTCAGAGGCCCTCATATGGCTGTCCCATTGCCGGTCACAAGCCTCCCTTGGGAGAGCTCTGCTCAGTTAACTGTGACATTTTTTGGGCCTCCCCTTCTGCCTCAGACCTCATATGACCTTGAACCTTCTGGGCTCACTCTGGCACCTCTGAGCCCAGGCAGCCTGAGCAGAGGCATTTAGGCCTCCCTTTGTCCCAGCAGGCTCTCTGCTTAGCATACCCAGGGTCCTTCCTGACTGTCACTTGAGGCTCAGTGCTGGTCCCAGGCTGGAGGCCCCCGCTGTTCAGGACACAGGCAGGAAGGGAGCCTTCCTGTCCCACTGGTTCATACACTTCAATCTCTGGAACCTTCTGTTTCCGGTGCCATGGCAGGAGCCAAACTAAACATTAACCCTTTTCATCCCAGGCCCCAGACTGTCACCACCATTCTTTCTGTCCATGCTATACCAGTATTTTCCAGCTTGAGTATATATAGGAATTACCTGGGGATCTAATCAAAATGCAGATTCTGACTCAAGAGGTCTGGGGTGGGACCTGAGATCTGCATTTCTGGACAAGCTCCCAGCTGCTGCTGCTGCTGGTTGAGACCACACGGAGCGGAAAAATCCTAGAGCACAGACTCCTTTAAAGACTGGTGCATGCCAAGACCATGATGTCATTAATGCCTCCCTGTCCCGAACAGCAACGCAGCCCTTGGTCTGCCTGAGGAAAACCAGCTTCATTACAGTGGTAGTATTGTCCTTCTCTGCAACCTGCCAATCACTTGTGCATAATAATAAAAGCTAACCTGTGTTGAACAATGTTCATGAACTGCACTGTGTTCATGAGCCTTTCATACTTACAGTCTCATTTAAGTCTCATATCAAGCATTTTATTATCTCCATTATATAGAGAATGAAACTAAGGCTCAGAGTGGTTAACTAGCTTTTCCAGGGTCACACAGACAGCAGAGATTTGACTGGACCTGGTTGCCTCACTCTATGCTTTTAACAAAGGTGCTATATTGCTTTGCAGTATTTTATATGATCCTACCAACAAATTTTAAGATAGGTCTCATGATCACCCCTACTTTTTAGATGAAGAAACTAAGGCTCAGAGAAGATAAGTAACTTGCTTGAAGTTCCACAGAGGTAAGCAGAAGAGCCAGGACTTCAGCTCCAGTCTCTTGACTCCCAACTCCATGTTCCACCCACTCCAGCATCCCCCTGGACTCGCCTAAGGGAACGATGAGACTCAGACTTGGAGCTACAGGGTCTGCCTGTTAGAGGCGCTCTAACGTGATGCATAAGAGGACCAGCCCTGGATCCAGACTACCTGGGTTCAAGTTCAGACTCCATCATTCATTAGCTGTGGGACCTTCGGTAAGTTACCTAACCCATGACTCAGTTTCCTTCTCTGTAAAGGTGGGTAATAACAGCACCTGCTTTCATAGGTTGCTGTGAAGAGTAACTGTGCCATGCGTGAAAAGTGCCTTGTCCTGTACATAGTAAATGCTCACCCCAACGCAGCTATTACTGCTGACATTATAATTCTTACCATGCTGATGTATACTGTGCAGATTACTGTGTCCACCTCCCTCAGCAGGCCTGGGAACTCTAGGAAGTGTAGGCTGTACTAAGAATTGCAGTCTCCTTAGGATGTAGTCTGGGGCCTGCTCAGTGTGGGTGCTCACTTTGTGTGTTTGATGAGAAAGGAAGTGAACAGATGACCACACTAGGACTTTTTTTTTAAAAAATAGGCATCTTTATATAGATAAGTGGCACTTGTTGGAAAAATGTGATGTTGTTCTCTGTGGTATTCCATCATCACCTCAGATCTGTTGGGAATGAGCTAAAGGCTGATACTAACAGCTACCACCTCATGAGCCCCCTCTCCTGCCCAGTGCTGAAGCACTGCCTTTCCAGGCACTCTCTCACCGCATCCCCGCAGTGTGGCCTCAGGAGGTCCTGCTGGGATACCTATGTTCCAGAAGATGATGTGGAGGCTGAGGGAAGCCGTGGGATGGTCACATAGCTTGAAAGAGGTGGAGCCAGGTTGAGTCCTAGTTTGTGTGACTTCTAGAAACTGCTGAGTGGCACGACTCCAGGGGACATTGTTTGCCTCAGAGCCCAAGTGAAAGGTGCCCGGAGTGTCACCGAGCCCATGCAGTGCCACGTCAGCCAGGTCTCCCTCTTTGTAGGAGGAAACAATTCAAAATCATTGTAGATAAATTTTAGCTGTTATGAAGATGATATTTTCAAATGGAATCACAAATTCTCTGTACCTTCAACAGTCACACCCTAAGTTGGTTCACTTAATTCCTAAATATTTACTAAGCATTATGTGCCACTCAAGGCCATAAGTTAGAAATTCTCATTTATCTTATTCTATGTTCCCCTGGCATTCTCCTTCTCCCCGTCTCCATTGTCTCTCACACACACATGTCATTACGCTCAAAGGAGGCCATGGTGAATGCCACAAGGAAGGCCCCACAGGGCACCACGGGTGCTTTCTTGCGGCCTGCAGCCATGGTTCACATTTGAAAATCCATGACTGCTCTGCTTTGTCAAGGAATGTCAAGGCTACAGGGTGCAGGGGCTGTTTATATCCCTCAACCAGTGGTTCTGAAACTTTTTGGCCTCAGGACTCCTTTACACTTTTAAAAATTATTGAGGACCCCAGGGAGCTTTTGTTTTATGTAGGTTATATCTATTAATATTGACTGTATTAACAATTAACACTGAGAACATTTTAAAATAGAAGAATACATATCTCATTATCCTTCAGAGCTGCTACCACATCATCACACTTGCATAACCTCTGGAAAAAAACGCCACTGTATACCCGTGAGAGAATGAGTGAAAAAGGCTTATGAGGTCTTAGTACTGCACAGAAGCAGCTTGACTTTAGGTACCCGCTGAATGTACCTCGGGGATTTCCCCAAGGCGCCCACCATCCCAGCCATAGTTTTTGGAGAATGGTGGTCTTTCAGTTGAATGACCTCACATCGCTAAGCTTTTTGGGTGTCCTAAGCCCCTCCATCTGTCCTCCTCTCCCTCTCTCCTGCTTTCTCCTCCCTCCCCCACCCTTCTTTTCTGTGAGGTTACAACCCTTTCTTCTTGCTGCTATCAGCAAGATATGTGTGGCAGCATTCCTGCTTCTAAAAGCTCTCCTGCTTCTAATTTAAGTTTTATTACAATTGTTTCTAAAGTAAGAACAATTAGGTTCTGAGAGGGCTGTCTGCATTTGAAAACATGAGCTGTAACTCATGCTTTGTAACCAAGTTCTGTAACACCTTTTCAAAATTTTTTCCTGTCCTTGATGGGATTCCTAACATGGGACCTTCACTTCTAAGTGTTTTTCATGTAACTGAGATGTGATCACAAAAGTCCAGGGCAAAGGAGAAGGTGGGAACTGAGTGAAGAGGATGGGCAATGGGGAGCTGGTGCTGGTGGTGGTTTCTCCAGGCTGGACTGAGCTAGCAGGCAGCAGGTGGCAGAGGGACAGTCACCTGGAATTCTTACAGTGTGTTTGGCAGAGGGGCATGAGTCATGGGGGAGAGCTCAGCTTGCAGGCAGTGAATGGGCAAGAGCCCTTCTCTAGGCTGAGTAGTTACCGTGTGCTAGGCAGTTAATGTGCATCATCTCATTTAACCCTTATAAACTGCACAAAAGGTACATGGTGTTGTTATCCGTGCCCTACAAGTGAGGAGACAGAGGCTTGGAGAAGTAAGGCCACCCAGCCAGTAAGACGTAAGGCCAGGCCTGAGTCCAGGTCCGACTGACTTCAAAGGATGTACCGCTGTGCCTGCATCTATCATCAGAAGACTTGGGCTCAGAGCAGCAGAAGCCAGGCCACAGCAGAGGAGGTGGGTGGCCCTCAAAGCCCTCCCACTGAGGGCTCTGGACCATGACCTCTTCGGGGCTCCTGACCTGTGGACCCCTCACTGGGAGACTCTTGTTGTGGGGCTGAAAGTCGTGCTCAGTGGTCTCGCCACGGGGTATGTTTGTGAACTTCAGAGGCCCCACTGTGAAGATCTCATGGAAGAAAAACAAGTGACACAAAGCGTATACCTGATGAGCAGCGGTATCTCATCCCAGAGAGAACCTTATACATCATGGACACAAGAATGCTTTCAGCCAGTGCACTGTTCTTCAAAGACAATATAGACTTCTCCCCCAAAATGCTAACTCTCAGACACAGTGAATACAGAAGTGTCTTCAATGGCAGCTTTAATGCCAGAGAACCGAAGCCACAGGATTTAAACCATCAGAAAATTTAATTTGGAGAGAAATCCTTGTGCATGTAAATGTCATGATTGGTTCTGGCAGGGCACATATATATATCCTAGGATGGCAACCTCAAATTTTAGCAAGAATAAGAGGGAGGGAGTTTGTTAGAAATGTAGATTCCTGAACCACCTATCCAGAGAGTCTGATTCCATAGGCCCTGTCCTGAGAGCCAGGAGCCTGCATTTTAACAAGTATTCCAGGTGATTCCAAGGTTCCACCTTTGAAAGATACCCCACTGAGAAACACCTACTATGAGTCATGTCTGTGAACATAACGAAAGTGGGAAGACCTCTCTCATTCCTTAAAAATTATTATTCCACATCACCTTCTGAAATAACTGAAAGCCCAGGGGAGACTAGGAGCCCCTGTGGAGGATTATAACACTGGAGCAGAGTCTTGCTGAGAGGATCACAGTGCTTAGGGCTTTGGGGTCAGACCTGTGTACTCTGGAATTCTTGTGCTGCTTCTGGGCTGTACATAGACAGGCATGTTAGAGAACTCTCAGCCCTGATTTTCTTATCTGTAAAATGAGAGTAACAGGATCCCAACCCCCCTAGGCTGGGAGAACTAGGTAAGGCCATGCTTGCACTTCACCTGTTGCTATGCCTGCAGCCAGCACT